CTAGTCAATTTGTCTTTTTTGTCCCGGACAAACACGCTGAGGGAAAAAGGGGTAGAATAAATCTACAGTAAAAGGGCTAAAACGAAAAATAAACACTAATTGGGGTTGCAGGATTTTTTATGAAAAAATAAAAAAAAACCATTGTTTAAGGTTTTCTAGTGAAAAATATAAATGTTTCTCCAAAGAATGATTCCATACTTTTTGATCTTTTCTTTTTTTTTGTAGTTTTTGAGAAATGGGACATTTCGCCCTTTTTTGTTTGTATTAAAAAAATTACCCATATCAGTTTTTTTTTTTTTTTCAAAATGTCCCGTTTTTCACTTTTAAAAAATTATTCAAAAACCTATTAAAACAAAGTCATGATAGAGAAAGGGGCTGCCCCCCGGTATCGAAAAAGAAGTTTTCTCTAGATTACTGGCATAGAAAATTTATGGGACAAGGAATCAAGATGGATTCAAAAACGCCACACAAAAAGTTTGGAATATTACAGTAGATTTAGGGGAAAAAACTGCATTTCCCCCACCCCGGAGAAACAGATTTTGTTACCACTTTGGCACCCCTTTTCTCCAAAAAACAATCATATACAATATAAATTCGATTTCTTTCCCAAACTTAGTGCTCAAACCATACACGACCTTTGAACAAAAAATTTTTCCCCACAGCTTCTTGCGATGGCTTCCTTTAAAACTGAAGTGGGGGAAAGGGAGGAAGTGCGTTATTGTAAATTTTCACCAGACTGGGGGATCTAAAATACAGAGGGGTTTGAATTAATAAATGGGGTTCCCCTTACAAATGACCTTAAGCGGGGAAACTACAACCTCACACAGTTTTTTCGTAACTGATTCTTCTTTCCTCATTAATTATTTTAAATAACCCAAGACCTAAAGAATACTGTGTTGAAGCAGGACAGCTTTGTGGTTCCCTCTTTCAAGGGCCCCATGGACATAACAAAAATTTAAAAAATTAAAAATAAGCATTAAAAAAGAGAATGCGGAGTTATTTTTTTCAAACGAAGTTTAACTAAACATTGTCAAAAAGGACTGGCAAAAGAGCTTTAAGACAGTACAGTGGAACTAAAAAACCATTATCCATCAAATAAAAATTGGGAAGTTAAACAAATTATGAGAAAGTAACCGGTCATGCTTCAAATCATTTTTTTTTGCTAGCTGGACTAGGGTTTAAATATCCTGGCGTACTGTTGTTAATGCTGCTAAGGGTCAGCTAGCAGTTACAAAGTATGTTGTTACTTCTAAATAAGGTTAGGTTAAACACTCTGACAAAGTTTGTTGAGATTCAAAGCATAAAACGCAAAGGTGTGGACAGAGACAGGGGCCCTACACTGAAGCTTTTATCTTAATTATTATTATTATTATTATTATTATCAAAAAGAAGCGCTAAGCCACAAGGGCTATACAGCATTATATCTTAAGAGACTTAGTATCCAAACATCTAACCTTTCATGCAAACCTTACAGGATATGGCAAAACATCTCATAGATAATGAAAAATACTTGAAATCTTGAGTTTGTATCCAAATTTTGCTTCAAGTATGAATGAACTATTTTTATAGAGGAGATTGCAACCCAATTGTGATCAAAGGGTCTAGTGGTACTAAGATGTTTTTTGAGACTGTATTCCATACTATATTCTATATATTAACTTCATGAAGTAATTTTAAAATATGAGAAGACTAATATTTCTTTCTAGTGATGTAATAACCATCGTGACCTCTGTAATCGTGATTTTTGGGCTACCACTCACAGGATCTTGTGTAACCTAACCTAACCTTATGTAGCCAAAAAATTAAACCCGCCTTTCCCAACTTTCCCTAACACAACCGCACCTAACATAATTAAACTTAATATGGTAGCTTAACATTCGGGCCTATTTAATCCATGTTAACTGACATCCGTCACAATTAACCCAGTTACACATTAGAAATAGTAATGACAGCATCATAACTTTAAAAATATACACAAAAAGTACGAATCCCAAGATTTATCCCTTTACCTTCCTAGAAAAGCACGAAATCAATTGTGTGGTTTTTATGCCAAACTAACCTACCTAAAATGCTAAAATTTACCTAAAAAACCTAGTTTGCTGGACCAACAATATTTATTGTAATTTTACAATTTTCCCTGGGGAATGGAGCTTTTCCTTTGGTTATCAAAGTTTTTTAACCCTTATCAATGTGATGTAAAAAACTTTTTCACTTAAAAATTTTCCCACTTAAACCCAAAATGATAATACACTTCAGGGTGCTTCACTTTAGCAAGGGTTATTTAAGAAACATTATTTGGCGCCGAGAACCCATCCAGCACCTCTTTAGTATTTCTTATTTTTTAAAAAATTTCGAGGGGTTTTTAAAATTTTTTTTTACAAGGCAGCTGAGGTTTTCACAGACTAAAAAGTCGTAGATTAGTAACAGATTGGGTCACAACAAAATTCCCCCCGGGTCAATCCAGGGGGAGGCCGACTAAGGCCATCTACTAACACTAATCCCTTCATTAACAGAAACTTATATCTAGGGTTTAGCCAGCTATGGTAAGTGATCCTAAAAATTAACGATACCCAAAGAAAAATGTGTACATTTTTTTGCTTTCTTGGTTATCCTGAGTTTAATTCCCATGAGTTTATGTTAGGGAAGGTTTGCCAGGAAACAGGACATGTTCCGACGAGAGTCTTATCATATGATGACCCGCAGCTGGGCTTTTGGGCATCTGACCGAGGGCCTTCCCCGGGGTTACAGGGCCCCCCTTTTTAAAAATTTGGTTTTGGCTTTAAACCCTTTTTGATTTGGTTTAATAGCTCGAACAATCATTATAAATAAGATTAAAGGTTAAAGGTGTTTACGCGTATTGATTTTTACGAGATTAAAAAAGATTACACTAACCAACCCAAAAATTTCCCAATCCTAAAACAGTGATTAAAAACCCGGGATATATCGCACGAGAAAACAACCTCGGTGATTAAACTTTCTCGCAGTCATTATTTTTTACATTTATTAACGCTTTACGCTCAACAACTATACAAATTAAAAATTAATGTAACGTTATCTAAAGCGGCTTAAAGTTACTGGGTTTTTTTTTACAATTTAATTACCACATTATGCATCCAAATGCTCCTTTAAAAGTCGTAGTACCTAACACATAGGGACTTACCCGTTTTTCATATCTATAAAAGACACTGGGAATATAATGGAGTACTTGACATAACCTCATCGCCCTACTGTGAAAACTCATCCCGTGTGATGGGGTGCGACAGAAAAACCATCCTTGTGAGGGGTTTAAGTAAGCCAATTACACTTGCTCTAACTTTTAAAATGTCCCTTACATCATTAACCGTCAATGGATTATATATACACATTTTTTTGATAAAAAAATATATTAATACCATCAAGAAAGTTCCCTACGCACCTATTAGCAGGTAGTCTCCCCGTCATACTCCATCAGCAGGATAGTTTTTTCACGAGGGAAGAAACCCGTTTTTATAGACTTCAGAGGGGCTAGGGTATAAATTTTCTGTGAGCTCATACCTACGGGAGCTTCAATGGTTTTTATGCCAGAAGCTGGGGGGTATTTTTACACAGGGGTAAACCTTTTTGAATGGCACTCACACCCATTTTTTTTGGACCTGAGAGCACATCGCATGCAAAGTAAAAGCCATGCCAGACCCCAATTATAAAATATATATATTATAAATATATTAATTATATATTATATAAATATATATATATTTTATAAAAAAAGAAATATGTGGTAACTACTAAAAAAATCAAAGTAGCGGAAAGTATCAAGAGAGGGATATTTTTCCCCCTCATCAGATGCCCCTACGTAGGACTCCAAACGCACTAACATTCAAAAACATTATCCCCAAAAAATATAAGGGCCAACACCGTGACTGCAACAATACACAAATAACCAGCACATAGGAAAATCTTATGACGATGTTTCGGTCCAATTTGGACCATTTTTTTTTTTTAATCATTTAAGCGGAGTCTTACAAATTAAACACGATATTAAAACGAATTATACTATAAAGGATTCTCGATAATGTAAATTCAAGTATAAAAAAAGTGTTTACAATGAGGTACTATAAGTACTGGCTACCCACAGCGCTATTCACCTGCAATTAACTTGATGCTGTTACAAGTCAGTAAACTTAAGCTGGCAACAAGACTACAATCACGTTAACACTCGAAGCCATGTTAACAAACCTATACTTATACAGACAAAACCCATTTAAATTACGATGTTGACGAGTTTGACTAGTGAGTAATGCTGGCCAGGAGTAAACCTGTGCTGTGCCAGGATACACACAGATGATTAATTAATTATCTGCCTGCTATTTCCTGTCAGCTGTGTAGTGAGATTATAACTGGTGGTGTAGGTAGAGCAGAGGTGTGGCAGTAACAAGGATTGCATGGTAAATATAGCAGTGAGGAGCTAGCAGGTTCCTGGCAGGTAGACACAGCAGTCTCTCTCTTACCACCGTCCTGCACTGACAACCAAAATAGCCTGGCTGCCTGCATCAGTGTGGCAGCCTGCTGCTGCTGCTGGCTGCTGCTGTGGCAGCGGTAACCACCTCCCTCCTGTCACCCCGCTATATAACCCCAGTAATAAGTGTTGCAGTGGATCATTTACGAGGTGGAGGGGTTGTTGTGGGTGCAGCAAGGTTGAGGGTGGCACAGCATGCTGATAATGATAGTAAAGTGCAGCATGCTGGTAGTGTCACACTAGAGTACTGACTGCCCCGAACCAAGCCTAACCTCACATAATGTTTCTCTCACATGCAACTGTAGTCTATCTAGCGCCTGTCCTCACAACCCATCCACACAGATACACTCATACTTAAAACAATTACTCAGCCATCGGTGGTTTACGTCAATAAATTACCCCTAATACTGTAATATTACGTTTGAAAAAACCATATGATGTTATCACGCTCAGTGAGGGGCCCAGCGAGGCGGTGCACCAGCAGATGCAACAATATCACACTTACCTTCTTCATAATGCCGGTTTTCCTCTTGGAAAACGTCGTATATCTCCTCAGTTTATTGTCAATAAATTCCATCTTGATTTTGACTCGTCCCTTGGTTTTCTTGCCGTTGGGAAGTGTTTTAGACTGTGGTTGTTGGTTGTCGAGGGAGGTGTGATGGTGGAGCATGGTGTCTCTGCTCGACGACGGGTTCATCTTGTCTTCTTTCTTAAGAAGATCAGTGTCGTCGTCTGAGGATAGTCCCAGAGGTTCACGGTCTAGCCCAGCATCTTGGGCGGAGCGCTTCATGCCTATCCCCATCCCGCCCATCGCAGCCATGTGTGGCTGCGAGAACAACTCGGGGTCAAAGGCGCCGAAATTCATTCCAAATTTATCGTCAACGCTGTTATGGCTCTGGTTTTGCATCTTGAAATGAACACTAGAAGGTCAGAAAACACATATTTAACTGTACACCAAATGATCACGACAATGAGGCTCGCACCGCACCCACGAAAATAATCACTGATGCTCTCTTCCCTGCCACAACACGACTGAACATAAACACCTCAACACAGCTGATCTCTGCTGCCGCACAACACCCACCAACCTCCTCACCTCCGCACACAAACTAGTTCCCTTCCCTGCTACACCTTATGCTCATATATCTCCCTATATTTAACATTTTTACTCCCCTAGTGGCCTTATAAATGACCAAATTTCATACAAAATTTTCAAAATATTCCCTTAATATGGCGTCATAGAGGTAGCGGATGAATACATATTCTCATCTGTATAATGGCAGGGTTCGCCATATAAGGAAATCATCAGGGCCAAATATGGCAGAGGCTCCAAAATTGGCAGGCAGGCCCCGCCTACCACAACTTGTTACCACCATTTAAATAGTGCACGTGGTGATTTACCAGCCGAGGTGCAGGCAACACCGTAAATATACGTCAAGCCTACAATGTTTTTGCTGTGCTCGTGAAATGGCTAGCTTTAAAAGGAATATTAATAACAAAAATCTCAGCAATAAATCACAGCGCTGCATAAATTTTGGATATTGTTTATAATATATATATATATATATATATATATATATTATATATATATATATATATATATATATATATATATATATATATATATATATATATATATATATATATATATATAATATATATATATATATATATATATATATATATATATATATATATATATATATTATATATATATATATATTATATATATATATATATATATATATATATATATATATAATATATATATATATAATATATATATATATATATATATATATATGTCATACGTCTGTAATTATGTGTGCACTCTTAATTGTATTCATCTAATTGTAGCTGCAGAGGTAGAGTCTCAGCTCCTGGGCTGCTTCTCTGCTGGTTTCGCTCTCTTCTGACTACGTGAGCCCTATCATACCTATTCTTAAGCTATGTATGGATCCCGCCTCTGTCTCTTCACTGTCTAGGTCGCTTCACATCTAAGGCTAAAGAAATAATTCCTAACATCCCTAAGGCTCGTCTTCACTTTTACCTCCCCACTGTGAAGTTAGACACAATCTCCCTGTCCATCCTGTCGATTCCCCTCAGTATTCTGTACGTAGTAATCACGTCATCTTTGGTCCTTCTGTCCTATGTCACCAGGTATGGCTCCTCTTGCCTTTCGTAGCTCATGTTCAGCTCTGGGACTAGTTTCGTTGCAAACCTTTGCACGTTTTCCAGATTTGCAATTATTTTATAACCTGCATGAACTGTATCACTGTAGACAACAAGAGTATTTCAATCCTCCATGGAAGATGTGTTCATTTAATATCACATACCTGCAAGTTCCTCCCAAGAAGCTCATTGCCAGTAATCCCTTCCTTAAATCACTTGTTAAACCAACTGCCCATAGAAGAAATTTCCCGCCTAGCTGGTAGTAATAATGTACCGCGTGTTATATATACTGATGGATCTAAACAGGAGTCTGCTGGCAGGGCTGCATCTGCTCTTGTTGTCACCTCCAGCAGGAGTCTGCTGGCAGGGCTGCATCTGCTCTTGTTGTCAACCTCCAGCGGGAGTCTGCTGGCAGGGCTGCATCTGCTCTTGTTGTCACCTCCAGCAGGAGTCTGCTGGCAGGGCTGCATCTGCTCTTGTTGTCACCTCCAGCAGGAGTCTGCTGGCAGGGCTGCATCTGCTCTTGTTGTCACCTCCAGCAGGAGTCTGCTGGCAGGGCTGCATCTGCTCTTGTTGTCACCTCCAGCAGGAGTCTGCTGGCAGGGCTGCATCTGCTCTTGTTGTCACCTCCAGCAGGAGTCTGCTGCAGGGCTGCATCTGCTCTTGTTGTCACCTCCAGCAGGAGTCTGCTGGCAGGGCTGCATCTGCTCTTGTTGTCACCTCCAGCAGGAGTCTGCTATCAGGGGTGCATCTGCTCTTGTTGTCACCTCCAGCTGGAGTCTGCTGGCAGGGCTGCATCTGCTCTTGTTGTCACCTCCAGCTGGAGTCTGCTGGCAGGTCTGCATCTTCTCTTGTTGTCACCTCCAGCAGGAGTCTGCTATCAGGGGTGCATCTGCTCTTGTTGTCACCTCCAGCAGGAGTCTGCTGGCAGGGCTGCATCTGCTCTTGTTGTCACCTCCAGCAGGAGTCTGCTATCAGGGGTGCATCTGCTCTTGTTGTCACCCCAGCAGGAGTCTGCTGGCAGGCTGCATCTGCTCTGTTGTCACCTCCAGCAGGAGTCTGCTGGCAGGGCTGCATCTGCTCTGTTGTCACCTCCAGCAGGAGTCTGTTGGCAGGGCTGCAGCTGCTCTTGCTGCCACCTCCAGCAGAAGTCTGCTGGCAGGGCTGCATCTGCTCTTGTTGTCACCTCCAGCAGGAGTCTGCTGGCAGGGCTGCATCTGCTCTGTTGTCACCTCCAGCAGGAGTGTACTGGCAGGGTTGCATCTGCTCTGTTGTCACCTCCAGCAGGAGTCTACTGGCAGGGCTGCATCTGCTCTGTTGTCACCTCCAGCAGGAGTCTACTGGCAGGGCTGCATCTGCTCTGTTGTCACCTCCAGCAGGAGTCTACTGGCAGGGCTGCATCTGCTCTGTTGTCACCTCCAGCAGGAGTCTGCTGGCAGGGCTGCATCTGCTGTTGTTGTCACCTTCAGCAGGAGTCTGCTGGCAGGGCTGCATCTGCCCTTGTTGTCACCTCCCTAGATAATAATGATAGGAACTATGTAGAGTTAGACATAAAAATTAACAAGTAGGCGTCTACACTGCAAACCGAATTGTTTACCATCCTAATGACAAACAATTTGCCATCCTAACTTATGACGTTGGGCTTGACTCTGGTACTACTGATTCTGTGTCATCAATGAAGACCCGTGACTCGCATAATAACAACATGCTCATTGGAGAAGCCATGTATGGATACTTAAAAATCCTGGAAAAGGGCATTAATGTACAATTTTTATGGATTCCATCACACATTGGATTACTCCTTCATGATCAAGTTGATATGTTACCCAAAAAAGTACCCTGAGAAAAAATATAGAGTATAACTTTGGTGTATCTGTGTTTAGCATTAGGAGTAATATTAAGAGAGAAGTAAATAATGAATATGAATGTTATAGAAATGTAATTAGAAGCCTTAGTGGATCTATAGCTCACTGTGGATATAAATCCAGATGTATTCCTGTTAACCTTTTTGGGGCCTAGCTTCTAGGCTTTTTGTGTATCCATATGTTCTTGCGCTACCGTCTACAGTCTACACTCTACAGGGTAGATATAGGGTACACAATTAACTAGCCGCTTTAGCAGATGCGGGTTCCTTACTAGTGCTACATACTCTTGACATATCTTGTGTATAAGGTCGTGAATGCCTCCGTGTTGGGTTTCTTAAAAACTACCAGTAAATTTCTTATTCTCGCTTTTTCTCCTGCAGTTATTCGCTTGTGAGTCTCAAGAGAAATTCTCAGAATTATGCTCACCCCGAGGCCCTTTTCTACCAGGTAAGTTTGCAGTCTTTATCCCTCAACCTGTACCATGTTTCCGGATGTCTTCGTCTTTCTCCGACTTCCATAACTTTGCATATGCTGGGGCTCAGTTTCAACAGTCAATTGTAAGACCAATCATACAGAATGTCCCGATCATTTGCAATCTTTCCTAGTCTATTCCTCTTTGTATTCTCCTCATTAGTTTCACATCATCTGCAAATAAGGACACCTCTGACTGAGTTTCCAATGTCATATCGTTTACTCACACAAAAAACAGTACTAGTCCAAGTATTGACCCTTATAAACCCCATTCCAACACTTTCTCCCTAAAGTAAAAGGACACAAGTGCAACTAATATAACATTTTATTGTGGCAATGTTTTGCTCTCCAGGAGCTTTGTCAAGTCGTTACGTAACGGCTTGACAAAGCTCCTAGAAAGCGAAACGTTGCCACAATAAAATGTTACATTAGTTGCACTTGTGTCCTTTTACTTTACATATTGTCGGTAATTCTACCAACATTATTACTTTCTCCCCTGACAGTATCTTGTTCCTTCTCGTTAAGTATTTCTTGATTCACTGTAGTCCTTTTCCTGTAATTCCTGCCTGATCCCCTAGCTTATGTGCAAACCTCTTGTGGGCTACTGTATCGAATGCCTTCTTGCAAACCAAAAATATACAGTTCACCCATCCCTCTCTCTCTCTCTCTCTAACTCAACTTTCGTTACCTTATCATAGAATCCTAGCAGATTTATGAAACTGTATTTATAATCTCGAAAACCATGATGGCTGTTTATGAATCTTCTTTTTTCCAGGTGCTCCACTGCTCTTTTCTTGATAATCTTCTCCATAACCTTACATACCATGAATGTTAGTGACACTGACCAGTAGTTCAGTGCCACCTGTCTCTCCCATTATTTAAATACTGGGACTACTGTTGCTGTTTTCCAGACCTCTGGCAGCTGTACCAGGTGATTTGGTGAAGACTGGTGATAGTGGATCACGCAATTCCTTTGCTTCCTCTTGCAGAACACACAGAGAGATGTTGTCTTGTCCCACTGACATCTAGGTGTCTAGTTCACTCTATTTTTTTCACCTCTTTTCCCGTTGTTTGTACTGTGACCGGTACTCGGTGCACTCTCTCTTTGACTCTGGCAAGTATTCCTTATTTTACTGCTAATACTTCCCTAAATTTTGTGTTCAGCTCCTTACAGACTTCCTAACCATTCCTAGTGAGCTCCCCTCCTTCCTTCTTCAACCATATTACCTGGTTCTTCACAGTTGCCTTACTTCTGATGTGGCTATACATCAACTTTGGCTCAGATTTGGCTTTTAATCGTATGTCATTCTCAAAATGCTGCTCAACCTCTCTTCTTATCTATGTATATTCATTTCCCTATTCCCCAGCATTCTTTGCTTTCTGTATGTCTTCCATGCAATCACACAATTACCTTTTGCCTCCCTGCATTTCTTGGTGAATCATGGACTCACTGTGTCCTTGCCTGTACGTGAGAGTGCACTCACTTATTTGTACTCACCTATTTGTGGTTGCATGGGTAAATTCATAGC